CAGCAGAGCCTGAAATGGGCCTAATAGTAAATTGACTAATTGGTCTACTAATAAATATATAAATATTGTTCGGGCTAATTCAAGAATTTGTGTTAAAAAATAGTAATATTTAAAACTTGGGGGAATTTTTACTGAAAGAAACATAGTTACACTTTCTTTATAATTAGGAAGAAAGTGTGCACACTAACTTTATAACCATATTTCCACTACTTACTTAGTAAGTTTTTTAAGTAATTTTACGATTTTGTCGTTTCCATTGGCATTAGTTACTTATTGTATGTGAAAGCGCTTTTATGTGTCAGAAACTTCTTTGAAAGTACTAAGAAAGCTAAATATTAAGAATATTAAATATTGAGAAGTAAGTAAAACGTATATATACTATTGGTACCAAAATGTACTTCAAATCCATTTTTTAGTCTTGTTGAAATAGATGTAATATCAATCAGAATTACAATAATACAGTTTAAATTACAGTTTAAAATAGTTAACAAATATTAAGTAGGAATTTTGTCAGGATTTCTCGATAGATTTTGCAAACTAAGAAAACGTGTATATATTATAGGATTTAGAGAAGCAATTATTAACGGTCTGGTAACTGAATGTGCAGAATACCTGTCAAGCCTTGGCATAAAGTAAAGCCAAACATTTTTTTGAATACTTTTTACAACTACAATTGCCGAAACGTTAACTGCAGACTAATAGAACTAATCATGATTTGGGATTCGATATGGCACTATAAACAATAATTCATTATATAGACTTTAGGGCTATATAGACTAGTTCTAACGAATTAGGAGTAAAGTTAGAATGTACATTTAAAAAAACCTACAAATCTTTATTTTATGTTATATTAAAGTTTAAACATAACAGTTATTATAAATTATAAAAATATTAACTAGAGACAAATATATTATTGTTTCATGTTGTTTTAGCTCTGCAATCTATTGTGGTAAATTGTAAGACCCCTATCCTTAATTCCATTAATATCCACAATTCCATTTTGACATTATTGTAGAGTCACATGAACATATATATTTAAATTTAAATTATATTGTTTTGTAAGGTTAAAAAAAAAATAAAAAATTGAAAATCTTGTCATATTCCTATGAAAAGATCCATAATCAAATTTCTGAGAAAGCAGTTGTTCTATATTCTTTTAAACATGTAAACTTTGTAAATTCTTTCATACGATATATTAAATAAATTTTTTGTGTACAAAAATGTTTTAGATTTTTATTTATTTTTATTTGCAAAATATGTTTGGTGTCCAGGGTCTAAATTAATAGTTTTTGTTCAAAAAATTGTAGTAGGACTATGAGGAGCAAAAATGGCGGACTTAAAAAAATATTTTAATCCCAATACACAAGCAGGCAAAGCAACTGTACGTATCTAATTCCATTAAAAATAGATTTTAAGTAATAATTGTTTTAAAGATTGCTGGCACTGCTGTAGTCACCGCTGTTACATTAACATATCTATGCTATAGAATGTTTAGGACCTGCCCATCTAACGATTGTCCTTGTTGTACAGCAGAAAGAGCAGCAAGCCTTTATGCTCCTCAACCCCCTACTCCTACTACCGAAAAACCGATAATACCTCATGATCCCCACAAACAAAAATCAGCGGTCTTTGCAAAACCACATGGACATTCAGAATCAGGCTCCAGCGGTTCCCATGAACCAACATATGAAAAAGATGAAAGAGATGAACCTCGACGTCCTGTCAGACGTAGTAGAGAGTATGATGACTACGAACCTAGAAGGGATCCACGTGATTACAGTCGCGAAAGATACAGTTATGATAGACGTTATTCAGAACCACCATCTGGAGATCGTTATGGAGGATCTGGCGAAAGATCACATTCAAGTTGCAGACACGAAAATTTCTGTCCTAACTGTGGTTATAGTTATCATAATGAAAAACCCTCATGTAATCATTTTTCACATAATAACAACTGCAACTCCTGTGGTGGAAACTCACAAAATTCGAGATCACATTGTCCCCATGAGAGTTCATCTTGTGGAAGACAATCGAATACTTGTTCATCATGCTCATCAAATGAAAGACGATCACCAAGTTGTGGGTCCACTTGTTCACACGAGAAAAGGTCACAGAACTGTGGATCAAATTATTCACAAGGATCACATTCACAATCAAATAGATGTCAAAGATCACACAATAATGAGAGAAGAGTTAGTGAACGATCCAGTTGCTCACATGTGTCACACGATTCTCGTAAAAAAAGTGGATGCAATTCATATAATACTGAACCAGTATCAAATAAACACCGAGATCAAAAATCGCCTTGTAAAAATAAAGAACAAACTGATGTTGAGGACCCTGAAGGTCTTGACTTTTGCCAGAAGAAACAGAGAGAGTTCGAAATGGAAAATGGCACTAAAACTTCTAAACACAAGAAAGATCAAAGAAACATTGAAGGGGAACATTTACTTAGAAATGCTGGAGCAGCAATGGGTGCCCCATAAAATGTCAGCACTAAACGCTTTGAATATTTAAGCAACCGCAATAATATTTTTTTTCTCCAGAAGCATTTATAAATAAACTTTACTATTAGAAAATACACGCACACTTAACAGATTAACAAGAAACACTATCAAATTAAAAAACCTTATGGACTAAACATATTACAAATTGTTTTTTTTTTTAATTTTGTTACTGGATATTAGTCTTACCATCTAGATTAGATGAGTCTGTCTAATATGAACAAATGTTGCCTTTGCTTATCCAGAACGTGGTTACTGAAGCAAAAGCTCTTGTTCCTATATATAATTAGGTTCTTTTGAACAGAAAAGGCATTGTTATCTTCAAATCGAGTGACTTCTATTCGAGTAGTGTCTATTGCAACATAAAAGATATTTTATGACAGCTGTATTCTACTCCACTATTGCTAATAAGATAATTACAACAATTTAGGCTGTCATTTTGCTTCATGGAAGTTAATTTTTTTACGAGACTCAACTCAAATAAATAGAGAATTCAATTTAGAAGAAACATTTTTGTATATGAGAATACATGTTACTAATAGTCTTGTCGCAGACTATACGATGTTCAATACGATGAAAAAGTTAATATACGTAGGTTTTGTATGCATCACATAGACTAGTTTTTAGGATTAAACTTCCCATATCACGAACTGGGATTTTGGGACTGGCATTACC